TCCCATGCCATTATAAAATGAGGGTGCCCCGACCTGTCAACATAACCGAGTGCCCTGTCTACCGAACTGTCCCCCACATCACCCCCACCCCCAGCAATGACCGTAGCGCTAAGCTAGCGGTACACAATACAGACACACTATCGAAAAAGCTACAGAGGTAGCGCTCTGTCTCCCTCGCACTGAGCCGTTTCCTCCTAGCCCCACCCCACCCAAAAAAAAAAAATCATAGAAGAGATGAGCGCCCTGCCAAGGAAAGTAACCTGGAGAAACACTGCATGTGTATTATTTCATCAAATTATCTTGAGATAATCAGAAGTTACAGGCGGGACAAGAGAAAGTTTATGTACATACGGGCACTATACCATAGTATGTCTGCCATCTATGGACGTATAAAAATATTGGATTTTAATTTTGTAACGTTTTACACAGATATTTGATTTGATTGCTCATATCCACAAACCCCCAACCCAATGGTTCAGGTTAGTCTCAAAAGTGCTACCTCCCATCGGGAGAGAATTTCTCCCCTGAGACGTCTCCGTTTTGCCTCAAGTTTCAGCAGCTGAAACGAAGGGAACATAGAAAAAGCCCCCGTACAAGACCATGGTCCTTGGAAAAGGCTTCTGCAGTCATTCAGAGGCAGGTGTAATTCAGAACTAAAACACAACTATTAATCAAACTGTGTTGTTGTTTTTTCATAATTTGACTGTGCTAACTGGTTGTTCTTGTAGAAAACCCTATTTTACACTCAAACAACGTCACAAGAGCCTTAAGATGGTCAGCAGTGCTGCTCTCTTTTACAGCTTTAATAGCTTCTGAATACACCCAGAGGGGTAGTTTAGGATGAAATGTCTTGCTGAAAGAGCACCTCACTGTTATAAACCTCTTTCACTGTGAGGAATTTTAATGAAATTTAGGTTCTGACGTCCCTGGAAGTACTGGGTGGTATGTGCAACCTTCAGTGTTGCTGACTGGTCAAAACAAGGTTGCTACAACATCAGAAAATCTTTTACATTTTTCATTCCATTCAAATTTCCTGTCCTATAACAACAGTTTTCCAACCTGTGAAAAAGAGCAGAGAATGTAATGAAACAGAAACGTGACGTAAAAGAAGGAGAAGAAAAAAAAAACTGCTTTACTCCAATACTTGAAGTCCAGTTTGTTTGTTTTTGTCTGACGTCTTAAAAAACACCAATGAGCAAAAAAGACGTTTAGCTTTTTTCCTTGTTCTTGCTGAAGCCGTGTGTTTCTTGCTAATGAAAAATTTCATTAAAAAGGGTTGCTGGATGATTAGTTTCTATACATTCATGTGTCCAGGCCTGCGCTGGTCTAGATTCTCTATCTTTAAGTCACCAGTTGGCCATTATTGAATGATTATTTCACAAAGTCTCCCTTTCCCATTTTTAGTTAATGTTTTTCTTAGTTCATATCTTAGATCTTATTACTGGTTTTCTTCCACATTTTATACTTTTGTTGGATGTAACTGGGACTCTGTGTACACAATTTCGTTCCACCACATGTACCACATGTAGTGCAAATGACAATAAAGAATCTCTGACTCTGACTCTTTTCCTTTCCTTCCATTCCATGTTTACCTTTTCTTAGCCTTAATTTCTCTCATTTCATTCTTTCTGTTTAGCTTCTTTTTTTGTTTTTGTTCTTCTTCCTCTCATTTTTTTATCTTTTTACCTTTTTCTTCCTTTTTGCTTATATCTTCCAGTCTCTCTTCTGTTCATGATTCTCTTTCTTTTTTCTCTCTCTCTCACTCTTTTGGTCTTTTTCTTTGTTTTGCGACTTGTATTTTTCTTTTACTTTTCTGTTCATCAAATATCACTTCAGTTTCCATATATTCCTAGTATCATTTGAAAATGTATATATAAATTAAAAAAAAACTTGGTAAATACCTGACAATGACTAACTAAAGATTTGGGGTGCACCGATATATCAGCTGGACACTTTATCGGCCCAGATTTCCTTAATTTTGGGAGATCGGCCGATATTTACATGAGAAACCAATTTTTTGTAGTTTTAATAACAATTGTCTAAACTTCATTTATATTTTAGAGCTCTACTTCATGGCCAGTTAAAACAAGTTTGTATTGTTTCTTTGATATTGTTCAAGGGTATGTTTTTCAATAAAATATTGGAAAATTGAAGGTGCATTGTGACCTTAAAACACCTGACAGTGTCACTTATAAAACAAAATCGGTATCGGTCAAAATCAGAATCGGCAGGTCAGGCTTTTTAGAAATCGGTGATCGGCCAGAAAACTGCTATCGGTGCACCCCTACTAAATATGTACACAAAATTGAGAATTATGAAAGCTCTTCAGATGAGAAATACAATGTCTTCAAGAATCAAAAACAAAGTTCAATTGCCCATTTACTTTTGCCTTTAGGTGTAGAATGACTTCCTGCAAACAAGAAAGAGATTCCATTTGAGACACCCTACAGAGACTAAATATGAATACTTCAATATTGTTTGAGTACAAAAAAGTACAAAAGAAAAGACTGACATGAAAATCTTGCACATTGTTGCCTCAGTTTTAAGTCAACGGGGTGACAGTCAGTCTAATGATGAGGTTTCATCACCCCCCCCCCCCCCCAGGCAAAACAAATGACGGATGTTTTTTAGAGAAAATAAGTCCCAGGAGAAAGTTTTAATGTAACACTGCATTTAGAGGTTTTGAGCCTGTTGTGAGAAACAAAATAAGTTTCTGGTTTCATAGAAACTCAACAGCAGAAAAAAGAACCAAAGCAGCACAGAGGTTTGAAAGCACTGAGATCGTTACGAAGACTCCAAACTTTTGTGCAGCACAATGATTAATCTGCAAACATGCAAAGATTTTGTGTCGTGCTTGTTTTGGTACTTTAGCCAGTTATGACGATCAGCTAGTTTCGCATTTTTCTAGTTAAAAAGTTCTTTTAAAAATCGTTTGACGAGTACAGATGGATTGGAGAGTCAAAAAAACATCAGAACCCAAAATAAAAAAAAATTTAAAAAGTCAAGGTCATCCGTATATTACTTATCAAAACACTTTTACACATTGAGGGAGGTACTAACTTCAAACATACTGATGGAGGTGTTGCCAAGTTAAGCTCCAGATGTATTTCACTCGCTACGACTTAGCTGTAATTAAATAGCGCATTTCAAGCTTCAAAACACGCAAAATGTTTCTTATTGCAAAATCGAAACTTCATAAAAATATGTAAGGACATAAAACACACACACAAAACTAAAATCAATTATAAAAGCAGTTTACAAAAATCAATAAACTAACAGTAAAAGTAAAATAATAAAACTAAAATAAGTTTATTAAAAAAAAATGGTTGCCGTTGTTTTATGCGCAAACTGGAACTTGTTGCCAAAGTAAAGAAGTCTAATAACTAGAACCTGACTGATATATCCGTAGGGCCAATATTTTGGGACAATATAGGCGTTTGGCGACATATCGGTATCGGTGATAATTATCCCATGATGTGCTGATTTAAACAATTGTAATTTTCATCCCTAAAATGGTGGGAACGAACTGTGTCCTTACTTGCAAAGGATGTGAATGTACAATGTATCCTGCAGAGGGTGTGTGTGGGCTACTTTTCAAGTCATGGCCGTTCACTTTAACTTTCAGTTTCAGTACAGATGAAGCAGGGAGCAATTAAATATCGTGTGGTGTAGTTTGCTCAACAGAGCATAGTAAGTTTATTGTAACTGATCTGTAAAATAAATCAACAATAAATCCTCTTCAATCCTCCAACCCGCTTGTGATTATCTACGTGCCTCTCAAGTTAACGAGCTAACACTGAGATAACCTAGCATAGGGCATTGCCTTGTAAAACTTTAGTCAGAACAAAATGAACGTTGAGGTAAAATATATCAGTGGTAGTGATGTCATCTTTGACGTCCTCAATGGCATGCATTGATCGTCTGAAATCTTTACTTCTTTGCAAAAAACTATAATTTTGGAAAATCTCACAATAAGAAGTCGGAGCGTGGTCTTCAGAGCATACATTTATAAATGGTGGGAAACAATGTGATTTGTGATAAACAATGAAGCTTGAGAACTCTAAATAAAATATCAGTTCTCATTTTGATCCTGTTGGTTAATTTAGGAGGAATACATGTAGAGCTAGACTTTGTAACTTATTTTTTATATATATATATATATAATTTCATCAATGCATCTCTACTTATAATTGGGTTGGATTATACGCTTTTCCCCACACAGTCATTAAGTTTAACCAATCAGATTTAACCAGGAAGTAAATTCAACGCTTGCTAAAATTGACGTAACAAGCAAAAAAAAAAAAAAAAAAGTCTTCAGCAAAAGGCTTCAGTGTTAATCTGTGCTTCTTTGTTTGTTATGATGACAAAATGTTTTCCTGTATTAATATAATGCTACAAAAATTTAAACCCAAGAACACAAGTCACCTTTGTGGATGTTCACTAAAACCTTCCAATACTGGAGGTAAATTTGTCAAAACAACTTTAAGCTCAGACACACAAACAGCTTGAAGCCTGCAGGATAGAACCTCTTGCGATTTTGCTATTCTGACAACCTGGTTTGAAAGGGAAGCCACAGGGTATCCATTTTTCTAACGCTCATCCATTTCACATCATGACAAACCAGCAACGTGGAGACGAGAAAGCAAGCTGGGTTTGAATGATGAGACATTTAACTGGAAGATTCATGTAAATAAATGTGACACTTTAAACATCTTCCAGAGGAAATTGTTTGAGAAAGTGCACCAATATTTTTACTATATTTAAGGCGCATTGCAAAGATGGAAGAGAAAGATAAGACGCTATTTAAAAGTGAACAAGGATTTACAGGAGAAGAGTGAAGTGGACAAATATATGACCATCAAATAAAGATAAAAACAGGACTAATATCAAAGGGTTGAGAAAGGAGCTGTAGGAGGATAAAAGTGAAGCGCTCCAGGAGCGAGAAAAAGGGAGAACAAGTCCAAAATAAAAGGAGGGTGTAAAACAGCATCTATACTCACCACAATCATTTCTGATGGCTCCAAAGTGAAACATTCACAGCCTCGCCTGCCCCCCAGCTGTCTGCCAAAACTGTGAAGAACGCACACAAAAAGATATATCAGGATAAAACACAAACAAGGCAGGGATGAGACAGTTTGCTCATAATGATAGCAACGACAGATGCATTTAATCCTATTCGCCCACCCACAGACGAACACCAGCGCCAATGTCCCCTAAATTACAGTAATTGCTCGAATCATTACTCTGAGCTAGCATTAAAAGTAACATGATACTGAGCTTGTGCAGACCATGTATGTCTGAGAAGTAACATCTGGTCAGGATGAAGTATATCCACTCTTAAATGGAAACAAGTGTTCAAGTGTATCTGTTTAACTAAATAGCAAAAATAAAAATAAAATATTGCTTTCTTAGGTACCCCTATACATTATATTTATCATGTTGGAGCAGATGACATCTGTGCAGAATTATTTTTAGGTCACACCTGGTTGATCCTGTTAGTTTAATAATTCAGTACATTCAAGGCCTACCAACAGATCATAGCACATATTTTACATTTTGACATTATTTGTAATTATCAAAGTAGTTTAAAACACATCCAGGCAAGAAATAAAATCCTTGATTAAGAAGAATTAAATTTAAGTATATTTTGGCATTTTTTTATTTGTATTTAACATCCAAGTTCAGTAATATTTAGGGGTAATAAATGAACAGATCTGGGAACTCCATAGGGCAGAACTTTAACGAGAAAATCTGTGTTTTGGAGAAAAAAAAAAGTCTCAGGTTAGATCCATCTCTTACACAAAAACGTAACCTCTACAATCTTTTAATGCTCAGTTTAGCATTCTGAATCTATATTTATTTTTCCATTTTTAAACAGAATATTTCAAACTTGAATCTAGGTTAACTATTTTGAGACTGCATGATGATTGGATACTAGTACACAATACAGTAGTCCCTCGCTACTTCACGGTTCGTTTATCGTGGACTCGCTCTATCGTGGTTTTTCAAAATAAGATTGGACATGACGCACAATTGGCTGATTGATGGATGAGTCACACGATTGGCATGGAATTTTTATTTAAACTAAATTATTTAAAATTATTTAGCACCTGCTGAACCTTGGTGCAGCTCACAGCTGTAGGAGAAACTTGCTGCTGCAGCGTGTAAGATCTCCACTCTGCAGCAGAGAGATGGGCGTGGCCAAGAGCACCAGCAGATGTCAGAGAGCAGCGAGGCAGAGCTGAAATCATGACAGTCTGTGCTCTTTTACAAAGTTTAGCGTTTAGAAACATTGTTTAGAATATTGCAAGGGTTTAAAACACCTTTACATATATGTGCATATATATATATATATATATAAAATATATATATATATATATATATATGAATGAATTTGTCAGATCTCAGCAAAAAATTGGGTTATAAATATGGGGAAAAAAACAAATGTCGCTTCGCTGTTTAAGTCACAGGCATGCTAATTTATGCAAAAAATTGTGACTTATACAGCAAAAAATACGGTACTTGTACCATTATTCCTACTTAGCAGTTTTTCACTTTTCGCGGTGCTTCAGGGTACGAATCCCCCGCAATAAACGAGGAACTACTATATTATAATGTGCTGTATTTACCATGTAATTAGTACAGTTATGCCAAAACAAGAGTTTTCCCTTTGCCATCGTTTTGAATATGAATGCATGCTGACTCAACAGTACTTTTGCACATCTTAAAACGATGTATCTAAGCCTTTTTAGTAACAGGAAGTGAATGCTTACAGTTAGAACAAACTGTCTCCTCCCAATAGATATTTATACTTTCTGTCAAAAAAGCCACTGAGATAATTTTCAGTTTAAACTATTCAGCATCTCATCTTGAAGCTTGAATGTTCTCACATGCAAATAGGCACTTCTTAGAAAGGCGTACAGTTTGTGTAGGAGTGCCTGGAAGCACGTAAAGAGGGGCAATGTTGAACGTTCCACATCTCAAAGTCAAAACAAGTGTTCTGAATGGATTAGAATTTTCTGGCATTTCTTGACGTGCCTTTGAAAAATCCCCTCGCAGTGAGCGCCAGCGTTTATGCATTCAGAAATTACTCATGTGTCTGTGGTTTCCATGCACTGTGTGTAAAGTGTGTAGGGATCCTCTGTCTGAACAGCTCCACTGGGGTGTGTGTGGTGAATCCTGAAAACGCACTGGGTTGCCAACATTTCTTGATCCCTCTGGCGAGTAAAAGTGGTAACTCAGTGATGTTTAAGGACTGCAGGAGCAGCTGGTTTTAATCATAGAAACGTGATGTTTGGACGAAATTCAACTTTTATTTCTTCGGTCTGGTTAAGTTATCTGTTAGTGCAGCTCTCTTTACATCATGGTCTTCTCACCTACCATCCATATTCAAGTTTTTTGTTGTTGTTTTTTTTGTCCATAATGAGCCATGTCTTTATTATTTTACTCCCTTTATGCTTCCCACTGCTTCTCTCATTTTTTCCTTAATCCTATAGCACCATGACTTTAACTCAAATAAATCCCTCTAAATGTTGTAATTGTCTTTTTATCCCGTTTTATCTTCTGCTTTCTTTGGCAGGTCCAGTCCACTAAACCTCTCCCTTTTTATTCTATTGTATTTGTTTTCTTTCATTCTTTCCACATCTCATTTTACATTATTTCATCCTGTCTTTCTCTCCTCTTACTGCTGATTATTTCCTGAGTGAGGAAAAAAAAAAAAACCTTTTATCTTGAAACTTTGACTTCACATCAGCAGACATTTCTCAACTTCAGCCTTTTAATGTAGGGCTCTGATGCAATTCTGTCTTCATAATGAACCCTAATGATTGAAACAATGATGAAAATATTTATGAATTGGACAGGCTTCGTCTTCCTCTGACTGGTTTTCCAGGAAATGGTAAAAAAAAAAAAAAAAGTGATGACAATGACGCAAGCGCCAAAGCCTCGGTGGATAAATCCATATATTTTAGACCTTGGAAAGGATACAGAAGTTCTTGCTGGGAAGGAAACCCATTTTCCAGAAGCTGAATTTAGCAAACATAAGCTATGCAGAATATATTCTCACTCTACGATTACATTATGTTTGAACAGGTTCAGATTAAACATTGTTGGATCATCGGGCGCCTTCCGAAAGTCTTGCTGTTGATTTCTTTTTAGAATAAACTATTACTTTCACATATTTTTTTTATTAAATTTACAACACAAACAGAGAAAATGGAGGTGAATAAATCCATATTTAAAGAAATAAAGTTTAATCAGCATTAATGTGCTCAACACACTTTCATTCTGTTTTATTATTTCCCTAAATGTATTTATCATGTGATCTTGAGGATTTCTTGAGAAATTCAGCTGTTTCTTGTCATCCATCAGGGAGTTCACATGTCTTTGAGTTGAGTCAGCTGCAGAAAACATTCCTAAAAGAGCAAAGGCTTTCCTGGCATCTGCTGATGACCCCTAAAGGGGGAAAAACGCTCACCGACACAGAAGGTTGGATAAGAGATCCACCAATCAAAATGCAACTAAATTCTCCAAATGGCAGAAATGTTGTGCTCAGAGGTTTAGGAACATTTTTTTTAACCATTTTAGGAGTTAGATTAGAACATCTTAACCTTTTTAAAGCCTATGATGAGTACATAAATACAGTTCTATTAATAGACTTAAAGCTCACTTTATGAGTTCTCAGCCTGGAGGTCAGCCTGACTTTGACAGATTTCTCTACACTCCACTGAGGCGTGACGCCCGGACCCTGTCAGGTCTACACAACGACTGCCAGTCCTGTGTTTTCACTGTGTGCAGGGTGGTGAGACTCCACTACAGAAGCAATGCATTGTGAGCGGCGTCTGCTCTATCATGTCTTGATTTTCATGAGTTGCTGCAACTTTTCGTGCTGATGTTGTATTTGTGTGTTTGTATGCGCACAACTGATGCTGTTGTCCCAACTGTGACACCTGTCTGTTGTCAGCTGGTCTGAGGACAAATCTCTAAAACCACAATGTGATCAAACCTTAGCCTTTACTTCCACAAGACAAATGGAGGTATATATTTTAATAAACACTACTGTGGTTGAGGCATCCCTGCACCACAGTACTTTGGAAGTTGATGATTAATTTAGTCTGGAAAAAAAAAAGTTGGAAAAAAAAAGTTTGATTCAAAGTAAGAATGAAATGAATTTTCTTTATTTGGCACTGATATTAAAGTTTAAAGTCAATTGTTTACTATTAACTTGGAATCAGCCATATATGAGGAGGCCATCATTATTTACACGTTCATAAAGGCAGGTCGCTAGTAAGTGCACATTTTTAGTTAAAAATACAACAAAGTTGTAAAAAGTTGTTTGAGTCTGGAATTTTATTTATTTATTTTTGCCTTAAAACAAAAGCAGATGGAAGTTATGTTTATTGTCCATTTTTACTGATTAAATTGGTGGCGGTTCGTTTATTGTGGACTCGCTCTATCGCAGTTTTTTAAAATAAGATTGGACATGACGCTCAACTGGCTGATTGATGGATGAGCCGCACGATCAGCATGGAATTTTTATTTAAAATTAATTATTTTAATTTATTTAGCACCTCCTGCACCTTTGTGCAGCCCACACTGCAGGATCAACTTCCTGCTGCAGCTGATCAGCTGATCTCCGTGCAGAGCGTAGAAGTGGGCGTGGCCAAGAGGCTTGCAGGTGGCAAAGAGCAAACGAAGCAGGGAACTGAAATCATGACATTCTGTGTTCTTTTAGAGCATTTAGAGTTTAGAAACATTCTTTAGAATACTGCAAGTATGGGAAGGGTTTATTGTAATTATGCAGCAGTGAAACTTTTGTACCCCGCATGGTTAGACAAAAGCCCATCTTAGCTTTCAAAATAGGACTATTTAAAAAGATAAAATTGTGTTAAACAGGCAACACGCTTCAGCTGTAGCCACTATAAATCTAAAAAAATCCAAACGTTTTGCATTGCCATGGTTTAAATTCTAAGCCTAAACATGACCATTTTAATAAATAACTGATATAGTAAGGCTTGTTTAGATGGTACATTAATAAGCTATAACCTTTGATAGTTAAAATCTCTTTGATA